GGGATTACAGGTGCCCACCACCATGCCTGGCTAATTTTTGTATTTTTAGTAGAGACAGGGTTTTACCATGTTGGCCAGGCTTGTCTTGAACTGCTGACCTCAAGCAATTTGCCCCACCTTTGCCTCCCAAAGTGTTGGGATTGCAGGTGTGAGCCCTGTCCTAAACCACTTATTCTTTTTTTTTTTTTTTTTTTTTTTTTGAGACAGAGAGTCTTGCTCTGTCACTCAAGGTGGAGCGTAGTGGCATGGTCTCAGCTCACTGCAACTTCTGCCTCCTGGGTTCAGGTGATTCTCTTGACTCAGCCTCCCGAGTAGCTGCGATTACAGGCATGCACCACCATGCCTGGCTCAATTTTTGTATTTTTAGTAGAGATGGGATTTCACCATGTTGGTCAGCCTAGTCTCAAACTCCTGACCTCAAGCAGTCCACCCGCCTCGGCCTCCCAAAGTGCCGGGATTACAGGCATGAGCCACCACACCCAGGCTGAATCACTTATTCTTGATGGGCTTTCAATGTATCCTGATATTTTACATTTTTTGATTATAGTAAGTGATGATTTAATAGTGATTAGCTTATGTTTAGGGTTGTTATAGAAACGTTAATACTTATGCTTTTTTGAGATGGAGTCTCACTCTCTTGCCCAGGCTGGAGTGCAGTAGCACGATCTTGGCTTACTGCAGCCGCCACCCCCTGAGTTCAAGCAGTTCTCCTGCCTCAGCCTCCTGAGTAGCTGGGATTTCAGGCACATGCCACCATGCCTGGCTTATTTTTATGTTTTTATTAGAGACGTGAGTAGTTTCCCCTGTTGGCCAGGCTGGCCTCAAACTCCTGACCTCAGGTAATCCACCTGCCTCAGCCTCCCAAAGTGTTGGGATTACAGGCGTGAGCCCCCATGCCTCCCAATACTTACACTTACTGACCTAAGCATTGCAGTAGTTCATGAGGTACACAGTTGTGTTCTTGAAAATGAAAGCTTCACGGAGTTTTAAGTGAATCTTGCGGACAGTTAATCTGGAGTTCCTAACAAAAGTTTTTTAATGACTTGATTATTTGAGCATTTTACATTTTGATACACTTAAGAAGCTAACAAATCATTTCCCTGTGTGATCTTTGAGATTCTTACTAAATAAATTGGTTACCTTTTCAGTTTCTTGTTCCCTTCTTCATAAAGTCATTCATTCAACAAATATCATCAACTGGCTACTTTGTGCCAAACATTTTTTAGGAGTTCTGATAGATGAAGTCCCTGTTTTGTAGAGTTTCCATAATAGTGAAAGAGTGGAGGGAGACAGACAGTAGGGAAATAAGTGGACAAGAATTTAAAATAGCATTAGGTACAATAAAGAAAGCATAATGTGTTGGTATGATACAGTGACTTGGCAAGGGGCCAGGGAGACAACAGATCCTGTGGCCAAAGAAGGCCTCTTTAAGGAATTGCTATCTAAGGTGAGACTTGAACCATAAAACGGAGCCAGCTGTTAAGAATTGGAGGGGACAGAGGAAGGAGTCCGGGCATGGTGGCTCATACCTGTAATCCCAGCACTTCGGGAGGCGGAGGTGGACAGATCACTTGAGCCCAGGAGTTTGATACCAACCTGGGCAACATGGCGAAATCTCATCTGTACAAAAAATACAAAAATTACTCAGGCATAGTGAAATGCACCTGTAGTCCAGCTACTCAGGAGGCTGAGGTTGGAGGATTGCCTGAGCCTGGGAAGTCAAGGCTGCAGTGAGCCATGATTGCACCACTGCACTTCATCCAGGGTGTTAGAGTGAGACCTCATCTTAAAAAAAAAAAAAAAAAAAATTGAGGTAGGAGGGGAGGCTAGTGGGATCAGCCAGTGCAAAGACATAAGGCTGATGTGGTCTTACCTTGTTGCAGGAGCGAAGGAAACCTAAAGTGGTCAAGCATAGAAGTAGAGAATTATGACGAGGTTGGTAGGAGTTGAGACTAGAGGCCTGTCTGAGATTTTTAACTTTTTTTTGTGCTGTGGACCTTCTTGGCTACTGTTGAAGCCCATTAGTAGTGGTTTTTTTTTTTTTTTTTTTTTTTTTTTTTGAGAGGGAGTCTCGCTCTGTCGCCCAGGCTGGGATGCAGTGGCCGGATCTCAGCTTCACTGCAAGCTCCGCCTCCCGGGTTTACGCCATTCTCCTGCCTCAGTCTCCCGAGTAGCTGGGACTACAGGCGCCCGCCACCTCGCCCGGCTAGTTATTTTTTTGTATTTTTTAGTTGAGATGGGGTTTCACCTTGTTAGCCAGGATGGTCTCTATCTCCTGACCTCGTGATCCGCCCGTCTTGGCCTCCCAAAGTGCTGGGATTACAGGCTTGAGCCACCGCGCCCGGCCAGTAGTGTTTTTAGATACATAAAATAAAACGCAGAGTTACAAAGGAAACCAATTGTATTGAAATATACTTATCAAAATATGAAACAAATTCTTGATGTAAGAATGTCTTTTTTATTAATGCATTGAAAAATACCTGACAGAAAGCCTATTACTTGACTTCCGAAGTAAGAGTGAGGTTAAATAATGCTTTAAAATATCTCAAAACTAATATGATATGAAAATATAGCTGGTGATTTAATTAGTAACAAAGACATAGGTACTGGTAATACTACCATGGCTTATTGCCTACATTAATAATGAAAGCAAACGCTAAATTTCAGCTAGATGCTAGAGGAAATAAAACTAGAATTTTCTTCTTTGTTTATGTACTGCTATGAATACCAGGAGTCCTTTGGTTAAGACCTCAGGATAGCTTGTGTAGGGCTTTCCAGCCTGTGATCACTGGTGGAGAATGTAGCTTTACAAAATCTAGTTGGAAATTGGCAACTGGGGTTTGGTACAAGTTACAAGGAGGGGAAGGAATTTAAGATGCTAGTGAAAGCTTGGAGGATAAGGGAGCAGGAGAACTCGTAAGGAAGTTTATAAACTGAGAAGGGCTGCAGCAAAGTGGGCTCGTATGCTTGAGGAGCCAGAGGACATGTTGAGGGTGACATAGGTTCTGAAGTTCATACAGATATTTATGCAGTATGGATTCTTGGAAAACCTTCTTCAGTCATGTGCTAGAAAAATAACAGCTTATGGAAAAAACAGGGTTGAAGCAGACCTGAAAATACATGAATTTTTAAAAACCACTTCTAACAGAAGCATAACAAACTGTAATAAAAACTGTGGCCTTCCTGGCATTTGCACCCAAGCACCAGCATTAGCCAACTCTTTGAAGCCTTAGATCTGTGGCTGTTGTTTTCTCCTTTGAGATGTAGGTCCTTGAGGGCATTTGCTTCTAATAGAGGCTAGTTTCGTCAGAATTAAAAATCTGAACCATGGTATGAAATTGAATTCTTTTTTTTTTTTTTTTTCTTTTTCGAAAACACTGGCAAATGTTTTGTACCCTTGAGCTGTCCCACATATCTTAACATAGTGAGTGGAAAGTACAGTGGCTGTTAAGCCAACTACTCTGAGGTCTTCACTGCTAAGGCTTACTCTTAATTGTGTGAGAGCTTAACCTTGATCCCTTTAAAACATTAATGGGCTGGAAAAAAAATCATTCATAAACCAATGCCACCTCTGAATTTTGCTGCCACGATTCCCTTATTTACCAATAGTGCATGAGCTAATTTGGAATAAAGGACTATGCATTGTAGCACAGCAGACATTGTGTGGGCAAAGTGTTGTTTTTATTCTGTCTAAATAGTGCTTCACACGTATGTACATATTTTCTAAATATGTATAGATGCTGTTGTGATTAATAATAAAACATGAATCTTTAAAACAATTTTGCTGACTTCATAGTAGTTTTTCATCATTTTCTCAATAGCTGCTAAAATTTCTGGAGAAGTTTGGGAACTGTTGCTTTGGAGTGAAATGCAGTGTGTTAGGTATCACTTGCGGAATTCTTCTAAGGGAATTTATTGGCGATTAAAAAAAAATCCTTGCGTTATACCAGTAGTAATACAAAGTAACTTGTTGAGCTTCTGTTAAGTGTCAAGGACTGTACAAGTGTGGTGTATAGTTATCTCATTTATTATTTCTGGGTAGCTATTATTATTCCTTTGCACAAAAAGGGAAAATGAGGCTCAAAGTATCATGCTCCAGATAAGAGAGCCAATGGGTAGCAGAGCTGGGATCGTTACCCAGGTCTCTAGTCCTGCCTACTTTTTCACAGTATATACTCCATTGCTTCACTTACTCCTTCATACATGATTCCCCAGCATATGCTCTTTTTTTTTCTTTTTTTTTTGAGATAGAATCTCGTTCTGTTGCCCAGGCTGGAGGGCAGTAGTGTGATCTTGGGCTAACTGCAGCCTCCACCTCCTGCGTTCAAGCAATTCTCCTGCTTCAACCTCCCGAGTAGCTGGGACTGTAAGCCTGTGTTACCACACCAGGCTAATTTTTGTATTTTGAGCAGAGATGAGGTTTCACCTTGTTGGTCAGGCTGGTCTCAAACTCCTGAGCTCAAGTGATCTGCCCGCCTCAGCCTCTGAAAGTGCTGGGATTATAGGCATGAGCCACCATGCCCGGCCTCCCCATCATGTACCCTTAAATACCATCAAGTACAGTTCCATTGTGTAAAAACTTGGCTTGATTTAATCTGTTAATTGGAACACTGTTATTAATGGAAATTAGGAATATGACGTAAGCTAGAGATTTTATTTTAATGACTTTGGGTTATTAAATCTATAAGAAATGAAATTCATTTAGTCATAATTAATGTCATATTTCTGCATCTGTATTACTTGTTGGATTTACAGACAAGGGAGGTAATGTATTATTAGTGGGAAGCTTTGAGTGCTACATCATTTCCCTTCCTATAAAATAACTTGAGTACTAAACAATTTGAATTAAAACACCTGAGTAAATAGTAACTTTGGAGACCTGCTGTACTATTTGTAACTTTTGGATCAAATGATGCTTGTTTATCTCAGTCACATTTTTATGATTTGTATTTTGTAAAAATGAGATCTTTTTATTTGTTTGTTTTACTACTTTCTTTTAGGAAAACACCAGAAATTATTGTTGGCAGTTTTTGTGACTCCTCTTACTGATCTTCGTTCTGATTTCTCCAAGTTTCAGGAAATGATAGAAACAACTTTAGATATGGATCAGGTATGCAATATACTTTTAAATTTAAACAGTAGATATTTTTTAAAAACAAAGGCCACATTAAGAAAGCGTGTAAATTTTTCTTTTTAGTATCTAATTGTAGCACCTTTGTAGACAGTGGACGTAAGACGAAGTGACAGATGGGAAAAGGATTTTTTTAAAAAATAGCAACTGTTTCAGTGGATGAAATACAGAGTAGCAGAGGAAATGAATATTGGGCATAACTGTCCTGGTTAAAGACAATCTCATAAATGAACAATTTCATAAATGTAACTGCATTTTATTTTCAAAGAGAAGGAAAATTATAGTCACTGGAAAAGGAAAGAGAAGTTAGAGGTAAACATAAGACACACAAGAAAACTTTCATTTTGTTTGTTTTCTTGTTTTTCTTTTGAGACTGGGTCTCCCTCTGTTACCCAGGCTTAAGTGCAGTGACACTGTCATAGTTCACTAACCCCTCAAACTTCTGGGTTCAAGTAATCCTCCTGCCTTAGCCTTAGTAGCTGTAAATACAGCTTTGTACCACCACGCCTGGCTACTTTTTTAAAAACTTTTTTATAGACATGAACTCTCGCCGTGTTGCCCAAACTGGTCTCAAAACTCTGGCCTCAAGCTATCCTCCTGCCTCGGTCTTAGCCTCCCAAAATGCTGGGATTTCAGATATAAGCCACCTTGCTGGGCCACTTCTGTTTCTTTTCCACGTAGAGAGTTCTTTGCAGGAGAAGGTTAGAATATGTATGCATCTCCTAAATAGTTGTTGAATATAACTAAAAAGTTAACCAGGACTCTAAATACTATTTACTTCTAAAATTTCTTGTTAATTGAGAACATTTAGGGTTTAAGTGATCTATATCTCATGTCTTTAACAATTTTGAGCAATAACTGTATGTAAAGTAAGAACAGTTTGTGAAATAGTTGAAAATATCCTTACATGAAAGTGAATTTTAAAGCACAGTTTATGACATGGTAATGCTTTTTTTTTTTTTTTTTTTTTTTTTTTGAGACGGAGTCTGGCTCTGTCGCCCGGCCTGGAGTGCAGTGGCCGGATCTCAGCTCACTGCAAGCTCCGCCCCCCGGGTTTATGCCATTCTCCTGCCTCAGCCTCCCGAGTAGCTGGGACTACAGGCGCCCGCCGCCTCGCCCGGCTAGTTTTTTGTATTTTTTAGTAGAGACGGGGTTTCACCGTGTTCGCCAGGATGGTCTCGATCTCCTGACCTCGTGATCCGCCCGTCTCGGCCTCCCAAAGTGCTGGGATTACAGGCTTGAGCCACCGCGCCCGGCCGCTTTGTTTTGAATCTGTTAAAAATTTGTTTATATGAACACGTTTACCAGTTTACTATGGTGAGCCCATTGAATATAGTGGGGTTCCCCCCCTCCCCGAGATGAAGTCTCACTCTTGTCCCCAGGCTGACGTGCAATGGCGTGATCTTGACTCACTGCAATCTCTGCCTCCTGGGTTCAAGTGATTCTCCTGCCTCAGCCTCCCGAGTAGCTGGGATTATAGGCGCCTGCCACCAAACCCGGCTAATTTTTGTATTTTTAGTAGAGGCAGGGTTTCCTCATGTTGGCCAGGCTGGTCTTGAACTCCTGACCTCAGGTGATCCATCTGCCTTGGCCTCTCAAGTGCTGGGATTACAGGTGTGAGCCACCATGCCCGGCCTGAATATAGTGTTTTTAATTTGCAAGACTTCAAAAATAGTATTTTGAAATTTTTCTAAGTTAAATTCCCTGTTAAAATGGTCATGCAGGAATATATGCTTGCATTATTCATATTAGGGTAACCGTTTGGTTTGCTGGTTTAAGTCAGATTCTTTGCATTACTTTTTTTTTTTTTTTTTGAGATGGAGTTTCACACTTTTTGCCCAGGCTGGAGTGCAAGGGCGCTATCTCGATACACCTCAACCTCCTCCTCCTGGGTTCAAGCAATTCTCCTGCCTCAGCCTCCCAAGTAGCTAGAATTACAGGAATGTGCCACCACACCCGGCTAATTTCGAATTTTTAGTAGAGATGGGGTTTCTCCGTGTTGGTCAGGCTGGTCTCAAACTTCCAGCCTCAGGTGATCAGCCCACCTCAGCCTCCCAAAGTGCTGGGATTGCATGCGTAAGCCACCGCGTCCCTGCCCCCACACCCTTTTTAAAAAATGAGACAGAGTTTTATTCTGTCACCCAGGCTGGAGTGCAGTGGTGCGATCATGGTTCACTGCAGCCTTGAATCTGGGCTCAAGTGATCTTCCCACTTCAGCCTCCCAAGTAGTTGGAACCATAGATGTGCACCACCACACCTGGCTGATTTTTAAATTATTTGTAGAGATGATAAAAATAAAAAACCTGCTGCCATGATTCAATTACCTCCCACCGAGTCCCTCCCATGTCACATGGGGATTATGGGAGCTACAACTCAAGATGAGATTTGGGTGGAGACACAGCCAAACCATATCAGATAATAAATTGTGGAGAGCCAACAAGATTGAAGAAAAGAGGTTTGAGCTTCGAGGGGTGGTAAATTGTGGGAAGGTAAATATGTGGGGCAAACTAATGGAAGGTAAAGGTTGTTTTAGTAAGGTTTGTTTTGCATACCCAAATCAAGGTGCCATCTCCAGTGATTTAAGAGTCTATGGTGATCAAGAGTAGTTCTCTTGTAGTGCACGTCTTACATGATGGGCAGGAGCAAGAGAGAGAAGGGGGAGGTGCTACACACTTTTAAACAACTAGATCTCAGGACAAGTCAGTCACTATCATGAGAAGAGTACCCAGGGGAAACCACCCTCATGATCCAGTCACCTCTCACCAGGCTCCACCTCCAACACTGGGGATTCCAATTCCAATTCAATGTGACATTTGGGTGGGGGCACATATCCAGATCATATCTCCTCATATAGCTGAATGGTATTCCCTGATGGACATACCACATTAATTATTAATTTATTGATTGATTAACAGGATCCTGCTCTGTTGCCGAGACTGGAGTGCAGTGGTTTGATCATAGCTCATTGCAGGCCTTGAATTCCTGGGCTCCAGTGATCCTCCCACCTCAGCCTCCTGAGTACCTGAGATTATAGGCGTGTGCCACCACACCTGGCTAATTTTTTTATTTTTTAGTAGAGACACCGTTTTTGCTATGTTGACCAGGCTGGCCTTGAACTCCTGGGCTCAAGCAATCCTCCTGTCTTGGCTTCCCAAAGTTGTAGGATTACAAGTGTGAGTTTAGAGAGGTATAATTTCTTACTCAACTCCAAGTATTTTATTTCTATTATCATTTGTTCTTTGGTTTGTTAATTATTTAGAAGTATATTTTTAAATTTCCAAGCTTGGTGTGTATCCATTTCATAAAAGTTCCCCATGTATTTAAAATTTGGATGTGTACTCTACTTTTGGGATTGTTTTTTCATTTCATTGTCTATATGTGCTCGCTAATTTTTGATCTGCTGGGTTACTGAGAAAGATGTGGGTTTCTCCATCTAGGTCTGTTTTTGGTTAATATGTGAGGCACAGAGCTGTTGTTTTTTCTGGTGAATTGAATCTTCATCATTCTTTAGGGACTCTATCCTTAATTAATAATGCTTTTTTGCCTTACATTTTGTCTCATTGTAAGAGAGCTATGTCAGAGTACTTTTTAAAACACTTTTTAATATGGTATATATTTTTTCATTTTTTGTGAGGTTTTTTTAACCATAAGTTTAAGCAAAATAAAGCTTATAACTGGATTTTATGTACTTTTAAATTTAATTTGATTTTTTTTTTTTTTTTGGTGAGATGAAGTCTCACTCTGTCACCCAGGCTGGAGTGCAGTGGCGCAGTCTCGGCTCACTGCAGCCTCTGCTTCCCAGGTTCAAGAGATTCTCCTGCCTCAGCCTCCCTAGTAGCTGGGATTATAGGCCCGCTGCCACGCCTGACTAAGTTTTTGTATTTTTAGTAGAGACAGGGTTTCACCGTGTTAGCCAGGATGGTGTTGATCTCCTGACTTTGTGATCTGCCTGCCTTGGCCTCCCAAAGTGCTGGGATTACAGGTGTGAGCCACCGAGCCAGGCCAAAATTTTAAATTTTAATATTATATTGAATTTCTTTTGGTTGGTTTAAATTGAGAAAGTTATTTTGTGTATATTCTCTTTTTTGTTAGCTTTCTGTAATTTGATTTTAATTCCTTATTCCTTGCATAGTTTGCTTCTGGTATGTGAAAGTGTACTCTCTAAGTGGATAGTAATTAGGAACAATTTATCTCAACCTCATTTATTGAATAATTTAAATCAAGAGAACGGACTCACTCTGTTATATTAAGCTTCTATACATAATTGTCTGCTTAATTGTAATGCCTAGTAAGGATACACTTCATCCTTTTTTTAGATGTTCTTTCACAATTTCATGTAAATTTTAGTTGTTTTGTTTCAAAAAAGAATTCCTATCGGACAATCTGTGGAAATACATAGCTTATTAATATTAGATCTAGTTTTCTCTTTTCATAGTTTACCTCTTTCTTTCTTTCTGTCTGTCTTTCTGTCTTTCTTTAACTGAGTCATACTCTGTCACCCAGGCTGGAGTAGAGTGGCACGATCTTGGCTCACTGCAATCTCCGCCTCCCATGTTTGAGTGATTCTCCTGCCTCAGCCTCCCAAGTAGCTGGGACTACAGGTGCACACTGCTACGCCCAGCTCATTTTGTATTTGTAGTAGAGATGGGGTTTTACCATGTTGACCAGGCTGGTCTCAAACTCCTGACCTCAAGTGATCCACCTGCCTTGGCCTCCCAAAGTGCTGGGATTACAGGCATGAGCCGTGGCGCTGGTCCAATTCCTGTAGTTTTTTAATCAGTTGAATTTAACATTTATATTCTTTTAAATCTTCCAATAGGCAATTATCTTTATAAAGGTCCTATATAATCAAGACTTTGTTTCTGAATATTTTATGTGGTTTTTGCTATTGTAAATGAGATCTATTTTTCGTTGTGGTTTCTTGCTGTTATTACTGGTAAGAATTTAGTGAAACAAAGTACTTACGAGTGTGTTTTTAAATTGTGAGATTTTGATTAACTTTTAAGAAAATTCTTTCATTTCTTAGAGCTTTTTGAGATTTCTAGGGTATATCCTTAGTTTGGGCAACATACAACTATTACAAGTTTTGCACATTGAACGTTACTTAGTAATTTTTAGGGAGAACATTTTAAATGTTTAGGAAAAATATAAATAAAATGTAGAATACTATTAGGGACATATACATCATCAGCACTGCATCTGTTTCATATGAATCGTTTTTATACATACAGAACTCTGAAGTCCTAATGAACAGAATTTTCCATCTCAGTAAATAGAAACTCCTTAATAGTTGTGACTGAATAACTTATGGATAGCAAATTATTTAACTGAAAACAGTAAAATTTAAGTGGGAGGAAATATTTGCTGTATAATTTCTGTCTTTACCTATTATTTATAGGATTTTGTCACTTTGTTCTGTTTGCAGGTAGAAAACCATGAATTCCTTGTAAAACCTTCATTTGATCCTAATCTCAGTGAATTAAGAGAAATAATGAATGACTTGGAAAAGAAGATGCAGTCAACATTAATAAGTGCAGCCAGAGATCTTGGTAAGAATGGGTCGTTGGAGGTTGGAATAATTCTTTTGTCTATACAGTGTCTGTCTATGTTGATGCCAGAATTATTTTATAAGTTTCCTGTCCCCAGGATGATGACTCCACATTCTTGTCAAACAGAAATCGCCCTATAGGCCCTTGTATGATGTCATTTAAACAAGCCCTATTTTAAATGTCACCTCCACTGGTAACAGGATACTCCTAGGAGGATCACCAAACCCGATTCTCCTAGGAGTAGTGCATTGATTTGGCTTTGGGGTTTCCAAGCACTTCATTAATGCCAATTTTTGGAAAAAGTCTGTCTTCCATACCAGCTTATTAATTCCCTATGGGTTCACACTTTTTTGTCCTCTGGATTTTCATCAAACACGTGTAAGGTGCTCAGTACAAAGAAGTTTAGAAATCCAGAACAAAACAGTGTATTTAAGCAGTAATAAACTTCCGGATAATCTGATGCCCATACCTACATATATAAAAAATTTGCAAATAGTTTCTGTAGAGAGTCCAAACATGGACTAGATCCCTAATTAAGAACTTTTGCATTAAAATCCATCTTCCTCATTTCATAGCTAAGGATATTAAGGCTCAGAGAGTTTATGTATCTGGAGTTAAAGTTATTTTGTATTTCCTTAATAATTTTTGACTTAATAGAAAGTTAAAGTACCTGCACATTTCTGTGTTTTACCGTATGTTAACTTGTTTGGCTGGAAGTTTTTCTGCTGATAATTGGTTTTATGAGGGAAGAATCCTGTTAAGAATGCATCATTGGACTGGGCATGGTGGCTCACACCTGTAGTAATCCTAGCACTTTGAGAGAGACCAAGGTGGGCAGATTGCTTGAGTCCAGGAGTTCGAGATCAACCTGGGCAACATGATGAAACCCTGTCTGTACAAAAAATACAAAAATTAGCCCGACATGGTGGCATGCACCTGTGGTCCCAGCTACTCAGGAGGCTGAGGTGGGAGGATCACTCGAGCCAGGAAGGTCGAGGCTACAGTGAGCCATAATTGCACTACTACGCTCAGCCTGGGTGACAGGGTGAGATCCTGTCTCAAAATAAGAAAAGAGAATGCATCATTGGCCAGGCACAGTGGCTCACGCCTATAATCCCAATACTTAGGAGGATCACTTCAGCCCAGGAGTTCAAGACTAGCCTGTGCAACATAGACCACATTTCTACCAAAAATTAAAAGGAAAAAAATTTGCTGGGTGTGGTGATGCACACCTGTGGTCCTAGCTACTTAGGAGGCTGAGGTGGGAGGATTGCTTTAGCTTGGGAGGTTGAGGCTACAGTGAGCCATGATAGTACCAATGTATTCCATCCAGCCTGAGGGACAGAGTGAGAGTGACACCTTGTCTTTAAAAAAAGAAAAAAAAAGAATGCATCATAGTATACATTAAATTATTGCCTATTTTTTTGATCTATTTTATTGAGTGCTAATGAGAAAATTAATGGCAAAAACTTGTTTTTTACGGTATAAATTGTTTAATTTCATTTAAAATTAAGTAAGTTTGTTTTATTAAAAAGTATGTTGAAAGCGACATAAATAGCACTCAAATTGAGACAGAAACACTGTAACTGTAGTGTAAGAACATTAGGCTGGGAGTTGGGAAACACGAGTTCTAGTTTCAGCTTGGAAATTTTTTCTGAAGCTCTTTACAAATTATTTAATTTCTCTGGTTTTCACCACATTCTACTGTAGCATTAACATGTTGGATTCATTGCTTTAATTCTTAGACCTACTTAGGTCTTTAATTCTTAGACCTTAGTGTCATCAGAAATGCCATTACACTTTGAGGATGTGAGCCTCATTTTAAATAAAGTTGTGATCCTCATGGCAGCCTCGGTTTACATGTGTTAAATAAACAGTATTCTATAAATACCATTGTCTTTCATGTTTGGTGATGTTGCTGTTGTTAACACTGCAGTGAAATGCATATATAAGCAAATTACGTTACGTACTCATGAACATGGTCCTTTGTTTTGAAACTTTGATCACTGATTGTTTGCAGTCTTTCATTGCGGAACTACTCTTTCCCTTTGAATGTTTTGAGAGGTTCCTTTGTTCAGATCAGTCCAATTTTATTTCTGGATCGGTCTCTACTTTCCTTTTCCTCACTGGTCAAGCGAGGTCTGTCTTTAGTTGTTTGCTACTACTAACATTTGATGGCCACACTTCAGCAAGTACATTTGTAAATACTCTCCCTCTCTCTTAGTTTGTAGTCTAGAGATCATATTGGTTAATGAAATTATGAAGAGGGAACATATTTATAAAAACCCAGAAATTCTCGATGCAGAAAGTCTAGCTGATTGTGAACCCAAAATACCCGAGACAGGTCTCAACCAATTTAGAAAGTTTATTTTGCCAAGGTTAAGAACACATCCATGACATAGTCTCACGAGTTTCTGATGACACGTGTGCAACGTGTGCAAGGTGGTTAGGGTACAGCTTGCTTTTATACATTTTAGGGAGACATGAGACATCAGTCAACATGTGTAAGATGTACATTGGTTCGAACCGGAAAGGCAGGACAACTCGAAGCAAGGGGCTTTCAGGTAATAAGTAGATAAGAGACAAAAGGTTGCATTCTTTTGAGTCCTTGATTGACCTTTCACTGAATAGTCTGGCTTAGTGAATCTGCATTTTTACATAAACAATAGGGCAGAGGAAGCAATCAGAAATGCATTTGTGTCAGGTGAGCAGAGGGATGACTTTCTGTCCCTCACCTGTGAAGATAAGCTATCAGTTTACATTGCTAGGGTGAAATTCAACAGAGTTGTTTGAGAGTGAACATCTGGAGGCTCACAAGGAATTTCCTTGTGGGCAAACTGTGAGGGAGGTATGTAGCTTTTTAATCTTTGTTGCTATCTTATTTAGGAATAAGATGGGAGGCAGGTTTGCCTGACATGGTTCCCAGCTTGACTTTTCCCTCGGCTTAGTGATTTTGGGGTTCCGAGATTTATTTTCCGTTCACGTATCAATCAGATCATTTGGTTTGTGAAGTTTCCTATGCTTAACAGAAAATATGTGCACTAGTTTTCCTAGAGTTTCATTGTCAGAGTCTCAAGTTTTTGTTTGGAAATTGTATTTGGTCACATTAATTATACTCTATATTAGTTCCAAAGAAATAACTTTGGTTAAGAAAATAATTCTCATGCATAACTCCACGAGGGTGGGGTTATACCTTAATCCATCCTCATGTGCTCACAACAACTGGGGCAAATGTGTTGCCCAGTGCTGGTGTTCTGCAGCCTTGGATAGGTTTACCCAGAAAGCAGCTTTCAAGTCAGAAACTAACATTCATAAGGGAGTTGAGGATTTTATAAATAGATATCCGTAATTCATGTAGTTTTCAAGTAAGTAGTATTTGAATCTTTTCTGGTTAGATAATAATTGTGATGTGTTGTCATATAACAATATGTTTTTCATTATTTAAATAATTTTAGAGTTACATTGAAAAATGGCTGTAGGTATTTATGGAATACTTTTTCTTTTCTTCTTGATTATCAAGGCTTGGACCCTGGCAAACAGATTAAACTGGATTCCAGTACACAGTTTGGATATTACTTTCGTGTAACCTGTAAGGAAGAAAAAGTCCTTCGTAACAATAAAAACTTTAGTACTGTAGATATCCAGAAGAACGGTGTTAAATTTACCAACAGGTTTGCAAGTCATTATTATATTTTTAACCCTTTATTAGTTCCCTGAATGCTCTAACATGATGTGAATGTTCTATGATAAGGAAGTTTTACTAATGTAGTCACCAGGTAAGAGTCAAGCTTTCTTCCAAATAGCAGTCAGCTGTCCCAATACCATTTGCTAAATAATCCATCTGTTCCCCACTGACTGAAGTGGTACTTTGGGTCTGTTTTAAAGAGTCTACTTTTACCTTGTCTCACCATTCTTTTGTCTACGCAAAATATATTTTATCACTTATTCTGTGTTACCATATCTATTAGAGCTAGTTCCCGCTCATATCTCGGCTTTATTTTCATGTTTCTTTTATCTCTTTTTTTTTTTTTTCCCCCTGAGACGGAGTCTTGCTGTGTCACTCAGGCTGGAGTGCAGTGGCATGCAGTCTTGACTCACTGCAACCTCCACCTCCCGGATTCAAGCGATTCTCATGCTTCAGCTTCCTGAGTAGCTGGGATTATAGGCCTGCACCACCACATCTGGGTCATTTTTTTATTTTTAGTAGCAATGGGTTCTCACCATGTTGGACAGGCTGGTCTCGAACTCCTGGCCTCGAGTGATCCACCTGCCTCAGCTTCCGAAAGTGCTGAGATTACAGGTGTGAGCCAACGTGCCTGACCCACATGTTTATTTTTTGTAAGAAAACTGCTATCATTTATCAAGTTAAAAAAATTATTCTGGTATTTCAGTTGGGTGTTTAAATTAGTTTAGGGAAATATGAGGCCATTCACTAGATTCTAGCTTTTTTTTTTTTTTTAATCTTGTTTCATGTTGAAACAAATTTTAACAGTTTTTTCCTGCCATTTTTCTAACTGATCTTAGGAAGTCCGTGAAGCAAATTATTTCTATGTAAAAAAAAATTATTTTAAATTAATTAAAAAATTTTAAAATTATGTTTATTTATTTTATTTATTTATTTTTTTGAGATGGAGTCTCGCTCTGTCACCCAGGCTGGAGTGCAGTGGCCAGATCTCAGCTCAATGCAAGCTCCGCCTCCCGGGTTTACGCCATTCTCCTGCCTCAGCCTCCCAAGTAGCTGGGACTACAGGCACCTGCCAACTCGGCCGGCTAGTTTTTTGTATTTTTTAGTAGAGACTGGGTTTCACCGTGTTAGCCAGGATGGTCTCGATCTCCTGGACCTTGTGATCTGCCCGTCTCGGCCTCCCAAAGTGCTGGGTTTACAGGCTTGAGCCACCGTGCCCGGCCTAAAATTATATTTAAAATCTTCTGTGGCTTATGGTGGGGGGAGGCTAAAGCCTTTCTCCTTTTGTACTGTTCTGGAAACTACTCCCTCCCCTCCTGAATTTTCCCAGAACTTTACAGGTAGCTTATATATATATGATCCCCTGTCATCTGTTTAACAAGTACTTTGAGTGTCTATTATATGCAGACATTCTAGGTGTTCAGACACCCTAGTAATTAGTTTGTTCCTCATAACTCTCAGTAAAGAAGACATGTATATTTCTCATTTTATAGGTGTAGAAGCTAAGACTTCACTTTTCCTCAGTTAGACGGCTAGTGCTGGTGGGTGCCTAAACTTAGATCTTCTGTTGCCAAATCTAGGTGTGTTGTTTTTCCAGCACACTAGAATACTCCTGGTTCAAGAAATGTATATATTTTAGCTGGTATAAGATACAACTTTTGGGGTGTTCTAATCATCTTCAAGTTTTTTGTGGGTTAGTTATAACATATGAAAAAAGATTGGACTGAATGGCCACATGATGCCAAGAGTGAAAGTCACTCACTAGGTTATGACCTGTAGAATCTGGTACCTGCCTGCCTCTGCTTTTATATTTTGCAACTTGTCCCTTCACACAGTGGTCTCACTTTTATAATGTCTTTCCCTCATGCATTTCTTTAATTCTTTTTTTTTTTGCCTGTTTCATAGTAGTCTGTTTGTGCTGCTACTTGCCCCTGTACTGTTCTTGAGCTATACATGTCTGCTGTGCCATTGAGTGATTCCATCAAGGCCACAATTATCATCTTGATGAACTGATTTTCTCCCACTGCTGATAATTACTTCTCTCCTTTCTTTCTCCTTTACATCACCTCTTTTTGTTCTTAGTTTCATTCCCTTCTTGATTCCAGTTAATATTTTTTTCTTATTCTCATCTTCCTTGAGTATTTTTTATGTCAACCTCTATTTTTTGTTTTCTTTTTTTTCTTTTTTTTGGTGAAGGGTTTGGCTTTGTCGCTCAGGCTGGAGTGCAGTCGCACAATTTCGGCCCACTGCAACCTCCACCTCCTGGGCTCAAGCCATCCTCCCACCTCAGCCTCCCAAGTAACTGGGACTACAGGTGTGCCCCACTACTTTGTATTTTTAATAGAGACAGGATTTCCCCATGTTGCTCAGACTGATCTTGAACTCCTGGGCTCAAGCAATCCACCTGCCTTGGCCTCCCAAAGTGCTGGGATTACAGGATTACAGACGTTGTGCCCGGCTCAACCTGTAATTTTAATTTTCTCTTCAAATTGCTCAACGAGATTTAGTTTCAAGACATTTTCCTGGCTGTGCATGGTGGCTTACGCCTATAATTCCAACACTTTGGGAGGCCGAGGCTGGTGGATCACTTAAGGTCAAGAATTCGAGACCAGCCTGGCCAACATGGTGAAACGCCATCTCTACTAAAAAATACAAAAATTAGCTGAGTGTGGTGGCACATGCTTGTAATCTTAGCTACCGTGGAGTCCGAGGCATGAGAATCGCTTGAACCTGGGAAGCAGAGGTTACAGTGAGTCAATCATACCACTGAACTCCAGCCTGGGCAACAGGCTCAAACAAACAAAACAAAACCCATTTTTCTTATTTTGAAAACTTTTAGTATTGAAAGATATTTTTGCTACAGTAATGAGAAATACTGTTTGTGTGTTCGTTTGTGGGGTTTTTTTTTTTTCTTTGCCTTTTTTTTTTTTTTTTTTTGAGACAGAGTTTTGCTCCTGTTGCCCAGGCTGTAGTGCAATGGCGCTATCTCAGCTCACCACAACCTCTGCCTCCCGGGTTCAAGTGATTCTCCTGCCTCAGCCTCCCAAGTAGCTGGGATTACAGGCATGCGCCACCACACCTGACTTAATTTTGTATTTTTAGTAGAGACGGGTTTTCTCCATGTTGGTCAGGCTGGTCTCAAGCTCCCGACCTCAGGTGATCCACCTGCCTCAGCCTCCCAAAGTGCTGGGATTACAGGCACCCTGCCTGTGTTTGTGTTTTAAAAGGGGTCATGGCTTTAATTTTTTTTTTCTCTCAGAGACGGAGTTTCCCTCTTGTTGCCCAGGCTGGAATGCAATGGCGTGTTCTTGGTTCACCGTAACTTCCATCTCCTGGGTTCAAGCGATTCTCCTGCCTCAGCCTCCTGAGTAGCTGGAATTACAGGCACGCACCATCATGCCTGGCTAATTTTTGTATTTTTAGCAGAGACGGGGTTTCTCCATGTTGGTCAGGCTGGTTTCGAACTACCAACCTCGGGTGATCCACCCGCCTCAGCCTCCCAAAGTACTGGGATTACAGGCATGAGCCACCACGCCGGCCGACTTCATTCTTAAATAAGGATTCCATTTAAATATTTTGTAAAAGGGCACAGGTCATATTTTTACTCAGGGGAATATAGTTATAGCAGGAATTGTGCCATTGCGCTATTCCAAACAGCATAAAAGAACGTTAATAAATTGAATTCTAACCACATTTGTCCGTAAAGAGTTGTCTGTTTTCCACTTGTATTTCCATTTTAATTATTGTTTTGATGTTTCATAGGATACTTTGGATATGTTTCATGTAGTACACATTGCTTCTAGTACACATTTTAATATTTTTAATAAAACTGTTATGTTGATTTGCAGCAAATTGACTTCTTTAAATGAAGAGTATACCAAAAATAAAACAGAATATGAAGAAGCCCAGGATGCCATTGTTAAAGAAATTGTCAATATTTCTTCAGGTAAACTTAATAGAAATAGTAATGTTCTGAATGTCGCCTGGCTTTTGGTAATAGAAAAAAAAAATCATGATATTTGAAGTGTGTTTTGTTATTTTTTTTTTTTTTTTTTTTTTTTTTAATTTTGTAATGAGTCATTTACTCCGCCCTTCCCCCCCCCCCCTCCCCCCCCCCTATTTTTGTATTTTATAGATTATTTAAATTTATTCTATGATATTGTAAGTGTGTTATTGTTTTGTTATTTTCTAAAACCATTACATTTTGACTATTTAATATGTTAGGTTTCCTATATAAAATAAGGCATGGTATGTTACGGTAGGACACATAACTGGAAATTACTCTTGTACATAGAAACAAAAAATGGCAGAAAAGCACAAAACTTACTATAGTTGTAACAAGGAAAGGAAACACTAGGGCCTACAACATACTAATGTCTTGGGTCCCATCTATGGGCTCATGAGGCTCTAGGTTATGGAAGTAAATACCACTGAAAAGCAAATATTAATTACACACGAGGCAGGCCTTTTTGAGTTCTGTGTGTCATTTTGTAGATTTTGAGTTCATTCTAGTGGCACCATTTGAGATCATTTTCATGTAATTAAAGGAACACAGCAACCTGACACTGTTATTGCCCTTAGAATGGAATGAGTATATGTTTAGCACAAAGTAGGTGGTAATGTGTTAAGTTGGAAGGCTTTGCCGATCATGGTGTGTATGTTGACTGTAACCTTTATTGTGCCTTTAAAAAATATACTCAAGAACTACCTTACCCAAGTAATTAAAGTTAAAATTACCAGTCATGGGACAAATGACCTGTACTTCCTGGTGTAATATAGAAGGAAGGACACAGTATCACCTATATGGTATTCTTGACCAAAATATTTAACCTGATTTTAAACAAGTAAAAATTCAAATAAATTTAGATTGTGGTACATTCAGGGCCTGAACTTTAATAAATGTCCATGTCATGGCAGCAAAAAAGAAATCGAAAGGTCTTAAAGAGACAGGGCAGCCAAACGCAGTAGACAGTTGTTGATTAGACCCCAATTTAGAGGTTGGAGCTGGGGAATAGCTATAGAGGACACTATTGGGGCGAATTGAGAAAGTTTAATATGAGACAATATGGTGTTAGCGTCAGATTTCTTGTGTGAAATGGTAGTGTTATGATTAGGAGAATGTCCTTGTTCTCAGGATATGCATGCTAAATTATTTAAGGGTAAATATTTTTTGAAAGGTTATGTGTATGAATAATTCTGTAAATTGTGTTGCTATTATGAATTGTCATAATAAATCAAAAGGAAACATAAAACTCAAGGTTTTATTTTAATACACTTTATGTATTGTTGAAATGAATGGAATTGATTTGTAAAGATTACATTTTTGCTTGTTTGTATCAGAAAGCAGTGACATAATAATCTTCTAGCTGAATTATGTTTCTTAGGCTAGATTGCATTTTAAAGAACCCTATAAATACCATTTATTTGAACTATGGATCTTCCTTAAAAAATAATATTTATTAAGCACCTAGCAGGGCAAAGTTTTTAGATTTTAACATTTAAATTGAAGATTTTATATTAGAAGTCGACCTGAATTTAAATGAAACTTCTTCTTGGTCTGATATTACATATTACAAAATATTTGTATTTAAAAATATAATGGAGGCTGGACATGGTGGTTCACACCTGTAATCCCAGCACTTTGGGAGGCTGAGCTAGGAGGATTGCTTGAGCCCAGGAGTTTGAGACCAGCCTAGCCAACATAGGGGGACCCTGACTCTACAAAAAAATCCCCCCAAAATTAGCCAGGCGTGGTGGTGCATGCTTGTAGTCCCAGCTACTCAGGAGGCTGAGGTAGGAGAATCACTTGAACACAGGAGGTCGAGGCTGCGGTGAGCCATAATTATGCTACTTCAGCCTGGGCAACAGAGCAGAGGTTGCAGTGAGCTGAGATCACGTCACTGCACTCCAGCCTGGGCAACAGAGCAAGACTCCATCTCAAAAAGTGTAATGGATCACTTTTATAATTTTCTATCATACAATTAAGTCACAAAAGGTTAAGAGCCAGTTATGTGACATGCCAAGTATAGACTCTTAATTAAGATGCTTTGGTTTGCTTTTGGTATATATGTATGTATGTATGTATGTATTTGATGGGGTCTTACCATGTTGCCCAGGCTTTAGTGCAGTGGTGTGATCATGATTCACTGCAGCTTCAACCTCCTAGGTGCAAGCAATTCTCCCCACTCAGCCTCCCAAGTAGCTTGGGACTACAGGCATGTGCCACCACACCTGGTTAACTTTTTAAAAATTATCTTTTGTAGAGATGAGGTCTCACTATGTTGCCCAAGCCAGACTCAAGCAATCTTCCTACCTTGGCCTCCCAAAGTATTGGGATTACAGGCGTGAGCCACCCTGCCCAGCCTAGTTTTCTTTTTTTACTATAAACTTATTCTTGTCAGTATGCTAGCAATTTTACAAGTTTTAAAGTAGTTATAGCAAGTACTTCACTCATGTTTAATTCTTAAAGGCTTATATTGCTATATAATAGGGTAGTGTGAATTCTTCCTTTCTTTTTCTTTAGAAAAACGTATTCGGTAAAAGTAATAAATTTTAAAAGTATACTGAGGCCAGGTGCTCACACCTATAATCCCAGCACTTTGGGAGGCTGAGGCGGGTGGATCACCTGAGGTCAGGAGTTCGAGACGGGCCTAAGCAGCATGGTGAAACCCTGTCTCTATAAAAGTACAAAAATTAGCTGGCTGTGGCGGCAGGTGCCTGTAATCCCAACTACTCGGGAGGCTGAGGCAGGAGAATCGTTTGAACCCAGGAGGCGGAGATTGCACTGAGCCGAGATCACACCATTGCACTCCAGCCTGGGCGACAGAGCAAGAGCAAGACGCTGTCTCCAAAAAAAAAAAAAAAGATATGCTGAAACAGAGGAAGATAATTATGTCTGCTTGGCCCCATTGTTAAGTTGATTTTTATTTTGAAAACATTTGATCGCTGTTATGGGGAACAAGGGAATAAAAAATGAGTTAAATTTCCAGCCCCTTGATTAAACTAATAATTTTTGGTTTTCCTAGAATTAAACACTTTTATCTTGAATGTTCTGTGAAACTTTTGACGTGATTGATAGCTGTATGATAGTCTGAATGACATGTGGGTCATGTACCAGCCCCTCCAACCTGTTAACATTTAGAATCTTTTCAGAAAAGTTAAAGCATTGTTAATTTTCTTCATGTTTTTTGTCTAGCATGTGTCAGAGATTTTTTTAATGTACCTATTAATAGCGTTTAGTTTTAATACTCTAGAACAGTAGAATCTTGGAAATGTTTTATGTGACAATTAGAGATTTAAATTTATGCTGACATTCTCTGCATGTGATACTAAAGAAAGCCAAACTAACTGTTTTACGGTCAGTTTGTACAATATACCAGGCCTTGATGGTCACATTTCAACATGCTACCTTTTTGCTTACATGTGTCTTATGATGATTTTGAGGTGCCATTCTGGTTTCTCAGATACTTAAAATATAGAAAAAGGTGTGTCTTAAAATTGAGAGAATGTCTTAGATACCACTGCACCGTTTCTCTTAACCTAATCAATATATTATCAAAGTGTCTCCTTGTTAGTTTTCTTTTTTAAAGCTCTACACATTTCTTTATAAACAGCTGTATAGTTTTATATTTTAATGATAAGGGAAGGTACTCTACTTTTGTTTTTTGTGTGTTTTTGTTTGTTTTTGAGACAGAGTTGCCCAGGCTAGAGTGCTGTGGTGCAATCTCAGCTTATTGCAACTTCCACCTCCTGGGTTCATGCAGTTCTGGTGCCTCAGCCTCCTGAGTATCTGGGATTACAGATATGCACTACCATACCTGGCTAATTTTTGTATTTTTGGTAGAGATGGGGTTTTGCCATGTTAGCCAGGCTGGTCTTGAATTCCTGGCCTCATGTGATCCCTAGTCTCATGCGATCTGCCCACCTCGGCCTTCCAAAGTGCTGGGATGATAGGTGTGAGCCCTCAACCCAGCCAGTACTCTGTTTTTGATAGCTATTCACAATGGGGAAGGATGTAGCACACATTTTAACCCTATGTTGAGTTTTAGGTGGGTTCCTTTCAAATTTTGTTAAGGCTAATTTTGTTAATTTTTTAAAAAAAGTATAAGTTAGGAAATGGGTTTTGAATTCCCAAATGGGGGGATTAAATGTATTCTTACAGCTTGTATCTGTTTATTATTCAGTATTCCTGTGTACATTTTCTGTTTTTATTTTTATACAGGCTATGTAGAACCAATGCAAACACTCAATGATGTATTAGCTCAGCTAGATGCTGTTGTCAGCTTTGCTCATGTGTCAAATGGAGCACCTGTTCCATATGTACGACCAGCCATTTTGGAGAAAGGACAAGGAAGAATTATATTAAAAGCATCCAGGCATGCTTGTGTTGAAGTTCAAGATGAAATCACGTTTATTCCTAATGATATATACTTTGAAAAAGATAAACAGATGTTCCACATCATTACTGGTAAAAAACCTGGTTTTTGGCCTTTGTGGGGGTAACATGTTTTTTGTTTGTTTGTTTTTTATCTTGGAGTAGAAATATATTTAAAATTGATGGAGAAAATTCCCAGTTCTTAACATGAGAAAGAGAACATATTATTCTCACCAGTTAGTAATCTATTCACATTTGGATTAGAGGAAAGATTTAGAAGGTGAGATAAAAGCTTATGAGAGAATAATGTATTCCTTGAAACTTGTTCCACAGGTTCAGAACGTTTAGAAACAAACATCCCTTCACACTCAAAGCTTACCTTTGAGCCAGTCCTCTGGTCTTGAAAGTCAGCCGATGCTATGGAGACCTTAGGCATATTAAAACAGGGCTATTCATGTGAAACTCGAAAAAACTAGCCTTGCATATAGACTCATGTATCATGTCTCTGCTGAGATGTTTGAGAGATCTTAACTAGATCTAGAAAACAAAAAAGGAAGTAGGAGTTTTGGGGCAAATATATTTGGGAAACGGTTGATTGTATTTTCTTTCCCCAAGTGGATTTTCAAGTTGTTCATATAATATAACCCCAACAAATAAATCGCCTGTTTTTCAAAAGAAGGATCCTGTTTTCAGGTTTTTGTGTGGGTTTTAAGTGGTTCGAAAGATTTGACCATACTGATACACTCACTAGTAACCTCATTTACTAATGAGTAACGGTTTTGAGTTAATCAGTTAGGCCTGCACTACTTTTCTGGAAATCAATAAATTATCCCACAGGCAGCCTTGTGAGCCATGGGAAATGTGTATATGGTCTTTCTAGGCCAGAGTCAAATTACAGGTATATTTTTCATGGCTTCTCTTGATGAAAGGCCCAGTATCAGTTTGTCTGAAGAAATAATAGCATTGCTTTTGGGGGTAATATGGGCAGTAACTCTGTCCACATCTTTGGGCAGCCTGTGGTTCTGCTTTTGTATGCCACGTCAGTGTAAACCTACATGATTAGTCATCATTGTACAGCTTAGGACTAACATCCATTTATTAGTAGCAGAAAGAAATTTAAAATCTTGATTTCTGATATAATTTGTTTTGTAGGCCCCAATATGGGAGGTAAATCTACATATATTCGACAAACTGGGGTGATAGTACTCATGGCCCAAATTGGGTGTTTTGTGCCATGTGAGTCTGCAGAAGTGTCCATTGTGGACTGCATCTTGGCCCGGGTAGGGGCTGGTGACAGTCAGTTGAAAGGAGTCTCCACATTCATGGCTGAAATGTTGGAAACTGCTTCTATTCTCAGGTAAGTGCATCTCCTAGTCCCTTGAAGATAGAAATGTATGTCTCTGTCCTGTGAGAAGGAGAGGTATATTTGCAGATTCTCATGTAAAAACATCTGAGAATGTTTGTCTTAGTTTAATAGTTGTTTTCCTGTGGACTTTATATACTTTGTATTATCTTAAAAGAGTGATTGATGATAGCTATGGAAAACTTTGATTTTTAAAGTTGTCTCTTTAAGTAGACAATTTATAAGCTACTGGTACTAGCTCACCTTATAAATCTCCACTACCATGTTTTCACTTGCACTGTTCACACTTCCTGGAATGGTCCTTCTTGCCCTTTATCCAACTTCTTTCTAATTTTTAAGTCCCTGATGATGGAAATGCTACTTCTGTAGTGATTTTTCTCATCATACGACCCTAAGGTCATGGGTGTTTTTCTCTGAACTCCTCTTTGAGATGCCTGTAACTTAAACCACATTTTTATTTTAGACATTACTGAAATGTTTTGTCTTTATTTCACTTTTTAGGAGCTTCCTTGAAGGTAGGGACTATACCTTGTATTTCTTGGTTTCTTTTTTTTAAAGTTTTTTAGAGAGACAGAGTCTTACTCTGTTGCCCAGGCTGGTCTCGAACTCCTGGGCTCAGGTGATCTTCCTGCCTTGGCTTCCCGAAGTGCTGGGATTACAGGCATGAACCACTGTGATCCTCCTTGTTTCTTAGTATCTTCTAAAGTACATTGAATATAGTAGGTGCCTAGTAAATTATGTGTTGATTTAACTTCTTTGAGGTTCTGTTGTTTGTGAAGAATTATAAAAGCAATACAAATGTTTGTGTAGTAATTAAGCAACAGGTTAATATTCATGAATTAAAAGATTAAAGAAATAAACAGAACATGTTAGCTGGCAACTCACAGAAAAAGAATTAAATTGCCAACGAGCACACGAGCACATGAAAAAGTAGCAAATGTATGTAAGTTTCACCCCCTTACATATATTTGTTTAAAAATGAGAGAAGAATGGTAATAGCTGGTATTAGTAGGACTGTGGCAGGCACACAATTTACATAACCACCAAAAGTGTATGCAAGTATCTATGTCACCACACCCTGGTCTCATCTTCGTTCAGTTTTATTTTTATTTTTTTAATCTCGGCCGATTTGATTGGCACGAAATGAATGATAGCTGCCTTATTTGGAATTCCTTTGATTACTACTAGTGTGCTTGACAATGTAAAACAATATTTATTCAAAATCTGTTTTCCCTTTCATCCATTGTTTATTCATGTTCATGCCCTTTTTTTCCTTTTCTCCTTCCTTCCTTCCTGCCTTCCTGCCTTCCCCTTCCTCCCACCCTCCCTCCCCCACATACACAGGTGTGTGCTACCATACCTGACTAGTTTTTAATTTTTTTTTTTTTTAGAGGCAAGGTCTCACTATGTTGCTCAAGCTGGTCTGGGCTCAAGTCATCCTCCCACCTTGGCCTTCCAAAGTGCTGGGATTATAGACGTGAGCCACCATGCCTGGCCCATGCCCATTTTTCTGTTGAAGTTTTAGTGCTTTTTATTGACTTTGTTTATATATTAAGATAATTAATCTACTATGTTTGTGGCATATCCTTCCCAATGTATTGTCTTAATTTTGTTTTTGTATGTGTATGTTACCACATTTTACGTGATGGGAAATTTCATGTAATTATGTGCTTCAGGTCGGCAACCAAAGATTCCTTAATAATCATAGATGAATTGGGAAGAGGAACTTCTACCTACGATGGATTTGGGTTAGCATGGGCTATATCAGAATACATTGCAACAAAGATTGGTGCTTTTTGCATGTTTGCAACCCATTTTCATGAGCTTACTGCCTTGGCCAATCAGATACCAACTGTTAATAATCTACATGTCACAGCACTCACCACTGAAGAGACCTTAACTATGCTTTATCAGGTGAAGAAAGGTATGTACTATTGGAGTACTCTAAATTCAGAACTTGGTAATGTGAAACTTACTACCCTTGAAATAATCAGTAATTGCCTTATTCTAAGTTAGTGTAAATTGTTAATGTTTTTATAGAACCCATTTACCCCTTAATTCACAGTCTGGGGACAGGAACATGTACATATTTCTGTATCTCGTAGTAGGACCACTCATTCTAAAGCATTCACAGAAAGAATTATCTGTTTTTGTTTTTGTTTTTGTTTTTTTGAGACAGAATCTAGGTCTGTTGCCCAGGCTGGAGTACGATTCTCTGCTCACTGCAACCTCCGCCTCCCGGGTTCAAGCGATTCTCCTGCCTCAGCTTCCCGAGTAGCTGGGATTACAGGCGCCTGCCACCATGCCTGGCTAATTTTTGTATTTTTAGTAGAGACGGGGTTTCACCATGCAGGCCAGGCTGGTCTCGAACTCCCAACATCAGGCTATCCTCTCCTCTTGGCCTCCCAAAGTGCTGGGATTACAGGCGCGAGCCACCGCGCCCGGCCAGAATTATCTGTACTCTTGAACATCACCATGGAGGGATTTTCTGCCACCTCCCATTTCAGTATGTTTTCTTGTTGAATTAGGATAACAAACAATATGCTTTCAAGTTCCAAAGTTCTAGCTGTTATTGTTTAACAAAATCTTCATTATAATTAGCTTATTTTATGCTCAAGAGTGTTATAAAAACAGGTTCATTTAAAACTGGGGGTTCCAGAAATCTTGAAATAGTAGTTATCACATGCAGAGTGACTTATCTATTGTTATTTCATCCTTTCAGGAAAGATTGTTATTCGTGGGCTTGGGGTCTAGTCAGATCCCTGTATTGATGAGATTAACATAATATAAGACTTTCAAAGGTTTTAAAAATCATACTATAAGGATTGATTTCATTAGTCACCAGAATAACTTTTTTAGATGGCGCTCTGATTTTCCACGAACACGTTTTTCTGCATCAGTTGGTTACACATGAGTGAGATAATCTTGGTTCTTTATCTTTTGTTATTTATACTTCATTGGGAATCCTTTTGAGTTACTGTATTTGTGTCATTATTATTATTGCTGTAGAATTCAGGAACTTTTAGTAGATCTGGCAGTTAGCATGAAATTTGCTTTTAAATCATTGCTTGTGTTTTGTAAGCTATGGAAATGTGTTCAGAATGTTTTTTAAAAGGCCAGATGAAGTGTGAAGATAGAAAAACTTCCTCCTTCACTGTGGATGTTTAACAAACATTTGCTTCTACTTTATTTTTGTTTGCTTCCTTTAGTTGTGCAAAGTGTCCAGTTCTAGAATGCATGAGATACATGACAAAGCCAAAAAATTTTTTACAGTTGATAAATAATTGTGGCAAAAACAGCTCTATAATAACTTTGCAATCATCATTTGATTAAATGCTTAAAAAGTCTTGACTCAGTTTTAACTATTTCCTGCAAATAATAAATCAATATTTTTAATTAAATGCTACTCCAAATTAGTGACACTTTTACATGTCTTTCTTTCTCCCTCCCCTTCTCTCTTCCCCCCTTTCCCCCTTTCCCCCTTCTCCCTTTCTCCCTTCCTTCTTCCCTTCCCCCCTTCCCTTGCCCCATCCCTTCCCTTCCCCCATCCCTTTCCTTTCCCCTTCCCTTCCCTCCTCTTGCCCCTTCCCTTTCCCTTTCCTTTCTCCTTCACTTCCCCTTTCCTTCCCTCTTCCCTTCTCCCTCCCTTTCCCCTCCCCCTCTCCTCTCCTCCCCTCCCTTCCCTTCCCATGAAATGAGAAAGCCTCAGAGATATTGGCTTGATTAATTTTTCTTTAGATATTTATCTAAGCCTTTAAGGTTTATCTGTTGAGCTTTTTCATCTCCTATTTTTATTTTTTCTACGTTTGTCAAGGATAAAATACAGCACTGTGTGCCAAGTCATAATCACTTTTCTTTTGAGACTTAATCAAAATTCCTTTAACTGTTACTCTGATACATTTGGCTAATGTATTTGAAGTAATCCAAAATTAAGTTTTCTAATGACAAGGTGAGAAGGATAAATTCCATTTACATAAATTGCTGTCTCTTCTCATGCTGTCTCCTCACGCTTCCCCAAATTTCTTATAGGTGTCTGTGATCAAAGTTTTGGGATTCATGTTGCAGAGCTTGCTAATTTCCCTAAGCATGTAATAGAGTGTGCTAAACAGAAAGCCCTGGAACTCGAAGAGTTTCAGTATATTGGAGAATCACAAGGATATGATATGGAACCAGCAGCAAAGAAGTGCTATCTGGAAAGAGAGGTTTGTCAGTTTGTTTTCATAGTTTAACTTAGCTTCTGTATTATTACATAAACAGGACACTAAGATGAAGGTTTTTTGGTGTTTTTTTTCCCCCTCTGTGTTTCTAGTGCTTATTTTTTAATCAATTTGTTTGATGGCAAAGAATCCATTTCTGTGTCATTTTGATTTCTGCAGTATATACATCTGCATGATCAAGATTCGATTTCAAGTACCAAAGTAGGAATAAAGGAATATAGTAAAGGAATAGGCTTAAAATTAGTCTTTTCACTAAAATTAGTTATTATAGACTATAGCTAGGTTCATCTTTGTTCATAAACGAATATATCAAGTTCAGTTATTAAATTACATATTAGGTAAGAAAAGGACAAATAAGAAAGCATGATTCATAATTCCTGCCCTCTATTTGTTTAGAATTTAGTTGGGGAGATAAGAATAACGAATGTGACACAGAGAATAAAGTGGCACATGACAAATATTTATTCAAAGAAACCATTATGGATGGGATGTTTCAGTTCTCATGGGAGAAGTGGATTTTATGGTGGCTTTTCTTTGAGTATGGGTCATATTTGGGTGTTCACACAGAAAGACCCAAACATATGCCTAATTTTTAAATTAATTACTTTATTTTCTTTGTGATGGAGTCTCTCTCTGTTGCCCAGGCTGGAGTGCAGTGGCGTGATCTTGGCTCACTGCAAGCTCTGCCTCCCGGGTTCGCGCCATTCTCCTGCCTCAGCCTCCCGAGTAGCTGGGACTACAGGAGCCCACCACCACGCCCGGCTAATATTTTGTGTTTTTTAGTAGAGACGAGGTTTCACTGTGTTAGCCAGGATGGCCTCAATCTCCTGACTTCGTGATCCGCCTGCCTCAGCTTCCCAAAGTGCTGGGATTACAGGTGTGAGCCATCACGCCCAGCCCTTTTTTTTTTTTTTTTTTTTTTTTTTTGAGACGGAGTCTCGCTGTGTCTCCCAGGCTGGAGTGCAGTGGTGTGATCTCGGCTCACTGCAAGCTCCGCCTCCCGGGTTCACGCCATTCTCCCGCCTCAGCCTCCCAAGTAGCTGAGACTACAGGCGCCCGCCACCACGCCCGGCTAGTTTTTTTTTTGTATTTTTAGTAGAGACAGGGTTTCACCATGTTAGCCAGGATAGTCTCGATCTCCTGACCTCGTGATCCACCCGCCTCGGCCTCCCAAAGTGCTGGGATTACAGGCTTGAGCCACCGCGCCCAGCCTTTTTTTTTTTTTTTTTAAATTAGAGGATTACTAGTTCTCTTCAATTATAAAAATAAAAGAATCTTATTTCACTGCCTGGTCCTGGAAACATTTACTGCAGTATACATTGTGACAACTTTTTACTTGTTATGTTTTTAGCTTTTACCTGTGAATTTCTTATTGTTCTTATGTGAAGGATAGATAGTTGCTACAATAATAATAGATGATGTGTATGGTTTTTGAGCCTGAAAAGTATAGTTTTTTTTTTTGTTGTTTTTTTTTTTTTTTTTTTTTTTTGAGACGGAGTTTCGCTGTGTCTCCCAGGCTGGAGTGCAGTGGCGTGATCTCGGCTCACTGCAAACTCCGCCTCCCGGGTTCACGCCATTCTCCCGCCTCAGCCTCTCAAGTAGCTGGGACTACAGGCGCCCGCCACCACGCCCGGCTAGTTTTTTGTATTTTTAGTAGAGACGGGGTTTCACCATGTTAGCCAGGATAGTCTCGATCTCCTGACCTCGTGATCCACCCGCCTCAGCCTCCCAAAGTGCTGGGATTACAGGCTTGAGCCACCGCGCCCGGCATAAAAAGTATAGTTTTATCTGCTGTACCTATACAAGCAGGAGAAATATAATTCGTTAATAATTTTAGGTATGGCAAGCTGCCATCCCAAATATGAAGTGGTCTTTGTATTTGCACTTTAATGTGTTGAAATCATAGCTTTCAGTGATCCAGCATTAGGCAGACTCTTATGTAATCCCTTGTTTCCAATTAAAATAGACGTTGTGTACTTTTGATAACATTAATTATAATGTATTTTGAGCCCTGTGAGGTTGGTAACATTATTCCCATTTTGTGAATGAGGAATGTGTGTTAAGGAATTTGCCCAAGAGTCACATAGCAAGTAATATTCATGCTCTCTGAAGCAGCAATAACTTGGTAATAAAATAAAAAAGAAACATCTTCTGTATGTGTTAACTTTTCAGTGACAGTTTTTGCCTTCCAGTATTCTTTGTAAACCTTGAATTCTTTTTTTCATAGAGGATTAAAGTTTATCAGTTATAAAGGTGGAGGAATTTGGGAACTAGACAGTGCACACATAAATAATAAATATGTTCTTCAAATATTGGGTGGGCTAATGTGGGGGGAGTTTGAGACCAGCCTAGGCAACATAGTGAGACCCTTGTCTCTAAAAATATGAAAAATAAAAAAAATTTCTAAAAATGGGTGATGTGTTTAGATGGAAATGAAACAATTTGTCACGGTCTAACAAGACTTTTAGAAAAGATATTTTAATTACTAATGGGACATTCACATGTTTTTCAGCAAGGTGAAAAAATTATTCAGGAGTTCCTGTCCAAGGTGAAACAAATGCCCTTTACTGAAATGTCAGAAGAAAACATCACAATAAAGTTAAAACAGCTAAAAGCTGAAGTAATAGCAAAGAATAATAGCTTTGTAAATGAAATCATTTCACGAATAAAAGTTACTACGTGAAAAATCCCAGTAATGGAATGAAGGTAATATTGATAAGCTAATTGTCTGTGATACTTTTATATTGTTTTATATTAATTCTTTTTCCATAGTGTTAACTGTCAGTGCCCATGGGCTATCAACTTAATAAGATATTTAGTAATATTTGTCTCTGAGGACATTTTCAAAGATCTTTATTTTGAAAAATGAGAGCTGTAACTGAGGACTGTTTGCAGTTGACATAGGCAATAATAAGTGATGTGCTGAATTTTATAAATAAAATCATGTAGTTTGTGGAATTTGAGATGCATTGTAGTTCTTTGCAGTGTGACTTCTATACACATTTGTTCCCAAATATGTTGGAAGAAACAAATAGTCCAGAGACCTTGTAAAAGATCTTAAACTGGAGGGCTCCATGGAGATCTTTGCCAGTGACTGCCCCAGAGTGTCCATCTGTTGGCAGGAGCCAGGTTGGCTGCATACGCATTAGCTAAGGAGCTTATTATACATCCAGAGTCCTACAGTGAGCCTCCATCCCGTCTGCCATTCTCCCATCCCTGGTCTATGATAAGACTTAGAAATCTGCATTTTAACAAAACCTTTCAGGTTGAGAACCCTGATTTAGTCTACTTCTTCTGTTTTACAATAAAGAGATGAAGGGGTTAAGAATTAGCAGCTAATCCTACGCAATGTGAGGGAAAAAGGACAGTCCTTTTAATAAATGCAGTGGACTGGTGGTGTATCCATATAGGAAGAAATGAAATTGGACCCCTAATTCATGTCATATATAAAAATCACCTCCACTCTGGGAGGCCAAGGCAGGCAATCACTTGAGCTTAGGAGATCAAGACCATCCTGGACAACATGACAAAACCCCATCTCTACAAGAAAATGCAAAAATTAGCCAGGCATAGTGGTGCGTGCCTGTAGTCCCAGCCACTCAGACAGCTGTGGTGGGAGGATCACCTGAGCTGGGAGAGGTTGAGGTTGCAATGAGCTGTGATCATTCCACTGCACACCATCCTGGGCAATACAGCGATACTGTGTCTCAAACAAAACAAAACCAAAAAAAATCACCTTCAGTGATTTTTAGACCAAATGTACAAGGTAACAGTATCAAGGTTTTAGTGTTTTATAGTTCTTCAGAAGATAACGTAGGAAAATATTTTTATGTCCTTGACTTTGGGAAGAATTTAAGTCACAGAAAAACACCATCCATAAAGTTTGACTTATTTAGCTAATTGAAATTAACAACTTCTATTAAAAGGCACCACAAGTGAAAAGACATGATTCATAATGGAAGAACATACTGGTACCATATAAAATATCAAAGAGCTGGGCATGGTGTCCCATGCTTGTAGTCCCAGGAGGCTGAGGCAGGAGGATCACTTGAGCCCAGCAGTTCAAGTCCAGCCTGGGCAATATAGCAAGACTGCCTTTCTTTTCTTCTTTTTTTTAATACCTGGAATAAAGAACTCCTATAAAAACACTAAGAAAAGGGGTCACTTAAGAATCTCATTAACAAAAAGAATCTGAATATTTTTCCACGGAAGATATGCAAATGGACAGTAAGCACATGAAAAGATGCAGATCAGGGAAATGCAAGTTGAAACCACAATGAGCTACAACTTCACACTGATTACGATAGTTAAAATCAAAAAGTCAGATGGTAAGTACTGGCAAGGAAGTGGAGAAATTGAAACTCTCATGCACTGTTGGTGGGAATGTAAAATGGTGCAGCTGCTTTGGAAAACAGTCTGGCAGTTCCTCAGACAATTCCACTCCAACGTATATCCAAGTGGAATCAAAACATATGTCCCCACAAAACTTGTACACAAATGTTTATAGCAGGATTATTCATAATAGCCAAAAGGTGGAAACAACCCGAATGTCCATCAGCAGATGAATGCATAAACAAAACGCGGTCTATCCATACAACGGAGTCTATTATTGGGAATAATTAAAGGAATGAAGTACTGCTACATGGTACAGCTTAGATAAACCTTGAAAACATTGTGCTAAATGAAAGAAGCTGGTTACAAGAGTCTACACATAAGATTTCATTCATGTGAAAGTTCAGAATAGAGACAGCAGTAGAGACAAAGTAGCAGTTGTTCAGGGTTGGTGCCAGGGAATAGGGGGTAGGTGGGGTGAAAGCTAAAGGATACGATGTTTCTTTGTGAGATGGAAGTTCTAAAATTGGTGATGTTTATACATGTCTGTGAATATACTAAAAACCGTTGAATTGTACACATTAAACGGATGAATTGTGTAGGAATTATTTTTTAATAAAGCTATTTTTAAAAATTCAGACACTTCACCCAAGAGGAAATCTAAGTGGTCCATAAACATGAGAAGGTCTTTAATCACCAGTCAGAAAAATGAAAATGAAAACCATGCCAGGCCACCTCCAACCTCCCCACCTCCCACCACCATAGTGACAAGCATTTCAAGTGTAGCAGTTCCAGCTGTTGGTGAGGATGTGGAATAACACTGCTAGGGGTGTTCAGATTATCTGGTGAAATTGAAAAGATGCATGCGACCCAGCAGTTCTGCTCTTAGCTGCATACTCTAGAGATGCTTTTGCCCATTGTGCTGCGAGATGTATACAGGAATGTTCCTAATACCCCCACACTGGAAACAACTCAGCAGTGAAAATGAACTACAGCTAGACAAAATAACATAGATGGAATCTTAAAACTTTTAGTAAAAGAAATGATACAAAAATGGTAGTTTTTTCTCATTTATGTGAAATTTAAGAATAGGTGGTATTGTTTAGGGATGCAGTCTTTGGGATGGCAACTATAAAGAAAAAGTGATTGTGTCAATCAGGAGAGTGATTGTCTTTAGGGAAATGGGGTGCTGATGGGGTGGGGGCACTTTAGGGTTTCTGGAGGGCCACAGTTCTGGTTTTTAACCTGAGTAGTGGTTTTGCAGGTGCTTGCTTTATAGTTAACTGCAATTTTTTCTTTTAATTCAGTTAAAGTTTGGTATGAGAACAAATGTATGGCCAATGAATCCTTTCACATACTCAGTTTACCAAGTTCTTTTTCCTCGTTGTTGTTAATTTAGAGTGGGTTACATCAGTTTTTCTTTTCTGGCTACCAAAAGCTTAGGAAAAAGGCAGACTTACAGAAGAAGATTTTAAATGTGGAAATATTTATTGGTTTACAAATCGTTCTAGTCACTTATACATGAAAAGCTTTCATAAAATTCAAAAAGCAAATTTTAAATTCCAATGAAATATTTCATCCTGTGGTTAGTTGTGAAAGAATGTTTTTAGATTGCTGCACAGAAGCATGTTTAACATGGAAATCAGCTCATGGTTTTAGTTGTTAGGGCTACAAGAAACTGGGGGAGACTTGATTCCAAGAAAACATGTAGTCTATCAGGCTGCTTTCATTTCTCTAAAACAGACAGTGTTCTAAGATGTTTTCAAAAATGAGAAGATACATAATAGATCTGCTTAAGAAGTTTAAAACTTAATCTGTGCTTATTACATGAATATGCTAATGTAAAACCAGGCCTTCAATTAGCGTTTCCTTCCTTTTAGAATGGTATATGTAAAGCAAAATATAAACTAATTTCTGACCTATCAAAGGTTTTTTTCTTAAAATTTAAATTTATAATGTGGTTTGGTTTTTCTTTCCCACTCAAACATGAATTTGGGTAATACCAGAATAAAGCTGAATATATAAATATTATCCAAAATTTAGAACTCTACTGTTAAGAAATCTGTTGACCACATAACCATGTTTCTGAGAAAATACATGATTTTTTGCATCTTTTAAAAAATTAGCACTAAGAAGCTAAGATGAAGTTGTTTTTGTAATTTGATTTTTTTTCCTTAAAATACTGTTTTGGAGTTAAAAGTTGTAGCAAAACTGGTATAAGAAAGATGTTTTAGGGTAGATATATTTAAGTCTTGTCTCATACTCTATTGACTAAGCTAGCCCGGTGACTAGGGTAGATGTATTTAAAGAATAACTTTTCCCCCTTAAAATCTCAATATTCCACATCCTGTTAGACTTCTTGAGTATTAAATACATCTTCTATCCTTGGTCTTTCTGCATTTAGCTTTTTTGGGAAGTATGTTTTTACCCACAGCATATGGTATGAGCTGCTGATTCAGTATTGAGTGGCTCTTTAAGCTTGTTAGTTACATTCTGCTGATTAAAATGGTATACAGAATAGTCAGGAAAAACCAGTCCCTGGTCTGAAATAAATTAAACAATGTTAATTAGCTTATGGAGAAGAACAAATGAGTAAAGAGAATTTTCATATACAAAGGAAATCTCTGTTATTGTCTTTCTGGATTTAGTGTATTTGGGTTAAGGAGATAGGGTGCGGCTAGAGAAAATGATGAAAATGTCCAGAATGTTACACGTATTTTTACACTGAAACGAAGTGGAAGCCCAGTTTTATAGTTTTCTGCCCAATGTTGCCCTGTCTTCACACCCACACCACTTATCTTGATTGATAAATCTACTACTTCCTCTTATTCTGCTTCAGAAGCTAACCTCTATGGTGCAGTGCTAGGATATCACAGAGGAAATAATCCCTTGTTGACAATGTCTTGTTGCTGGGAGTCATCAACGCCTCCTGTTCTGAGGAGGACAGTGGGAAGCCCTTGCCTTGCATTTGCTACAGCCGTTTCCTTGACTTCCCTGGAAGAACAGTATTTCATGGTGTTAGACAACATTCAGAACGTGCTCGAATTCAATGTATGTCAGTACACACTTGCTTTGGTGTGTGGTTTGTCCAAACCAAAGTGCCCATACATGTCTCTGGTCCAGCCATGTGGGAAATTCAGCAGTGGGGTGAACCATATGGAGACGGCAGGTGTTGGGCAGCCTTAACAGGACTGCCCTGGTCTTACTTCTGGACTTGGTGAGTAGAAGATCACACTGTTGCTTGCTGCCCTGGGTTCACCTCAAAGAGGGAAAGAAAAATTCGAAACTTAAATGGTTAAATTTAGAAACAAGAAAAAGTTCTGTCAGTGGGCAATTTCTTACGTCTAACAAAAAAACAACAGCAATGAATTCCTTTGTGTTCAGAATCAACCAGTAAACACAACTTTAGCAATTAACCTATCACTATCACAATTTTTTATTTCCTGGAATTTTGTTGACAGAATTAGTCCAATAAATGTTATAAATAATAATTTTATGAATAGATAGGTAAATGACATATTCAGTATAATTAAATCTAAGACAATGCAACTTTTTAAAATTCAACCACTGCCCTGCAATTTTAATATGCCTTGTCCATCCAGCAAGATACATTTTGTCCGTTTTTTTCACA